TAGCGATGTTCACAAAGGCGGGGTGTGAAGTTGGCATGATAGCAAGGGCATATGACGGGAACTGCTCTAGCCTGCGGAAACGGTCGCGCTAACGCTGGATTAGGCAGCTCCAAAACCTCGACATCATCGTGCGCCGCGATAAACAAGCAAAGTCAAGCCACTAGCTGTTGGGTCCGACGGCGTGTTAGCTGCTCTTGGGCGTGCTTGACTTGCTCTTGGAAGGTGACGGAGTGGATACGGGTTCCGGACCTCGAGAGAGTGCTGCATGTACCCCGCCGCCAACCCGGTTGACGGCATTGTGACTGACCCAGCGACGTCTTTACGAGACGTTTGTCGGGGCGATGGACAATATGGTGCTCGCGCTTATCTGTGGCTTAATATGCGCGCGTTCGTGAAACATCTGGGCAGCGCGGCTGTGTGGACAGAACGGGTGCGTCTCATTGCATCGCCAGGAGATCTAAGCTTACCTAAATACGCCCACGTCACCACCTGTTGGATCGTACGACATCGCATCTCCTTATCTCGTTAATGTTGAGGCAGGAGGTATCACTGTGGATGTGAAGGAGAATGTCTAAACACCTTGACGCCTAAATCGACGCTACGTCTTCACCATTGCTTACCGTTATCCTGCCTAGGTAACGTAGGCTGCAACCCTCTACGAGGTGGTCCAAGACCTACGAGATCTTTCACAAAATGGAATCGAAAGACTACATGTCGCCTTCACACGGAGACTGTACCCCGATAATAGACATTGACTAATGATTCTCGTGATCGTTTCTGCGTTATGAATCCGCGCTGTCACTCGCAAACCTTCAAAGGCTCTTTAAAGCACACATCTGCTTTCTTGAACGCGCATCGCATACCTCTTCTCGGCTTTTCATCCACGAGTAAACACTTATCTAAGCTCATACACTGAAGCAACACGCTACATATCTAGTAAAGCTTTAAGAACATGTCGACCCCAACGCCTGTCAAGGATGGGAAAGTGAAGATGGGGCCGCGCGAAGCAGGGAGGGTACCGCCTAAGAAGCGGGAGAACGATGGAAAGGACCATGAGAAAAGCGGGAGCGGGGAAAATGACGTTCAAAAGGAAGAAGGGAATGAGGATGATGGGAATAAGGATGAGGGTGACTCTCATCTGGAGACTTGGGCGGAGTATCTAAAAAGATCGGGGACGTGATTGCGCAAGGGCGCAGCTGATAGTCATGAACGAGGTATCGCAGTACCGTCAAGTCTGTTCCTGAAGATAGTTTGCGAAAGAGTAGCTGTGGGCATACATCACACGACCACTTCTTGTTTGACATACCTAGGCAAAGCAAGCACAGTGACGTTACTCATTTACCATAAATGCCAGTGCTTTTCCTTTGTCCGCGCAATATCACATCACCCAAGAGTACCAGACTACTAAGAACTAGTCGCTGTTTCGCCATGTCATCCTGGATAAAGTCATCGAAAATGACTCCTCAGGCCGAATCAGATGCCGCAGCTCAAGAGCTCTACCTCCCCACCAGAATCCGCGGCTTGTACACCTCCCGCCCTTTAAAATCCCTCCCCGTCCACATAAAAATCGCGATACGCCAACCTGGAGCGAGCAATCTTCAGGTCGAGTGGTCATCATCCTGGGACGAAACAAGAAAGGCCTGTGACGATGGGGTCACCATACCAACCTTGAAAGATGCCGCTGCTAAAACCGTCAACTGCTATGGGAAACCCGGTGGACGTGTTCCTGGCATCTTCGTTGCGAGTGAAGAGGTGGAGAAGCCATTGGTGGTCGTTTGGGCGCTGGAGGGAGGGACGAGGACGATTATACAGATTCAGCCCGTGGGTAAAGAGGACAATCAGGAGAGGAATTAGGCGGAGCAAGATGGATATGTGATGGTTCCGATGTGTTGAGAGGTTGGTAGTTGCCGTTATATTCTTGCAGTAGGGGATGTTGTAGTTGGGTTCACTGCGCACTTACCTCTTGACATCTCTCATGGAAGTCGCTCATAAACATGTTCTCAGACCTTCCTTCCTTCCAAAGACAGGTTTAGTTGTTGTTTTCTAGATCAATCTCTCAAATAGTTTGCGGACGTGAGATCATTCTCGCAGTTGTTCTTTAGAAAGCCCGTCGTTTGGCTCAGTGCAAACCCAGTGACCACTAACCACTTTTCAGAACAGCGCCCCTTCCACCTTCCCTAGTCATCAAAGTCCGCTTCCAACCTTGGAAATCCCGCCACCCAGACATACCATCCACCACTCATCACCAACTTATCCACTCATCTCCTCATCCCTTAATCCACACATCCCACCATGCCCCGACCGCGCATAGTCGACCTGGAAAATCGAATCGACGAACTCACCGCTCATCTAAGAGTTGTCACAAAAGAACTATACTTCCCAACCCAAATCCGCGGCGTGTACGTCTCGCCCAACAGAGACACATCCAACGGCATCGTCTCCATGACAGTTGAGCGGCTAGCACGATCGGAAAACGGAAAGCTTGAGCCCTATACCCCTCCCTACCCGATACAGTTGTCGAACTCGGCGTATGCAGGACACAGACCAGAAGACATGGTGGACATGCAGGGAAGAGCGGGTGTGCGGCTGCCTGGTGTGTTTGTTGCGCCGGAAGAGGTCGAGACGCCGATTGTGATAACTTGGACACCATTCGCGGCGGGGATGAAGAAGACGGTTGTGAGGATTGAAGATCAGACGGATGAGGATCGTGTGAGGTGATATGGGTAGGGGAGGGAGTTTGGGGAAGAGATTTGATAGCCTGTGGGGTACGTTTGCGGATGGTGAGAAGGATGAGCTGAGCGATTAGTAGCAGGCGCCGAACATTGATACTAGAAGCTGTCCACTTTAGCCGTTCGAAGCGAGAAGAAGTGCAATTGTTATCGTACTCCGCTATTCAAGCGAAGCGCTGGTGTGATGTTCACAGCGCACTTACCATGTGCCCTTTCCACGGAAGTCGCTCATCAACATCCTCAGACCCACCTTCCTTGCAAAGCCACCATCTTCCAGCAACTGCGGAGGAGCCTACGCGCACGTCGCATGCACCCCAACATCGAACCATCACACCACACAAGCCCCATCAATCAACGTACCGCAGACCCACTTACTCCCATTACTTCCATCCATCTATACAACGAAACGCGCTCTTCTCACCCATCTCAACCCACTCAGATCTCTTACCATCACCACTACCACCCCTCTCCATCCACCTCATCACCCAACCACATCATGCCTCCGCCTCCGTCATACAGATCTCAACTACAAAAAATGATCCACGATCACACTGAGTCACTCCGAGACAGCGACCCCCGGCTCTACGCCGCAACGAAAGAAGTCGATGATCTCAAAACGTCGCTCCGGGACAGCGACGCTCGACTCCACAACGCAACGAAAGAAGTCGATGATCTCAAAACGTCGCTCACGGACAACCACGCCCGGCTCTACGCCGCAACAACAGAAATGTATGCGATAACCCCGTTCCGCGGTATCTACGTCTCGCTCGACGCCAGTGCCTTCTCAGGCCAAGTCCAAGTACAAATCAAGCTGCCGGGGGAAACGCAGTACAAGATCCAGTGGTCGACCTAGGGCGACGACCTTGGGATTATGTCGCGCCGTGGAGACAAGAACATGCATGGGAGACATGGGATACGGTTGCCGGGGCTGTTTGTGGAGAGGGAGGAGGTGGACAGGAAGGTGCTGATTTGCCATACTACGTTGCAGGGGATTAGGACGTGGATGAGCTTTGAGGCGAGGGGGGATCAAGTGACTGGGTAGGGTGGTATCGTGAATGTGTGTACGGATGGGGAGATGGGGGAGGGAAGTGGATGGTAGCGGGTGATTAATGACTTCATGCGCATGCTGTCGGGTCACGCAACGGGCGTCATTTGACATGACACAAACACTATAACCATCAGTATTAGTACGATAAGATCACGTCCTCCATCCTTAAGTACCTCAACCCCCGATTAAATTCCGTAGCATCACCACGACTAACACCAAAGACCCAGAAACCCCATTCCCCCTTCTCCTTACTAGTCCACTCTACCATGACAGCAGTACCAGCACTCAAGGCCGCCCTCAACAACGTCAACGCGCAGCTCACAGTGCGGGACGCCCAACTCGCCAACCTCAACACGCAACTCAGCGACCTCAAAACGCGGCTCACAAACCAAAGCTCGCATCTCATCCAAGCGGCACAAGAGCTATACGCGCCTATTCTTCTCCCTGGCATATATGTCTCGCTCAACCCTGGACACTTCTCTGGTGAAACCCAGATAGCGAGACAGGTACCTGGAGAAACCCCCGAACACGTTCGCTATGAAGAACTATGGTCGTCGGCCTGGCCGCGAGATAACCTTTCCGATGTGCAATATAATATGTATGGGCACCATGGGACTCGCTTACCGGGTCTGTTTATCGATAATGTAGCGGTTGATCGGTGGGTGATCATTTGTCATACGGTCGGGGGGAAGACGACGTGGGTGACTTTTGACTAAGGTGGTCAAGGGGTTGGCTTGGATGTCTGGATGGAGGTGCGGGCTTGAAGTACTTCCAAAGCATGGTTCTCGCATGAGGTGGCAGTCTTGTGATTGGAATGTGTGAAATGTGGTTGTCAACTGACATAGCTATCCTCAAAGCCTTTCTACAAGCACTTACAACCCACAAACCACGATCCACATAACTGCCAACATCACGCATCACATCACTATGGATTCGCTGGCAATACCAAGCATAGCAGACTCTAAGGATTGCGATCTCTCTCGTTTGATGAGTACCTTTTGCGTATGTAGTGGTTATGTATTTTAGGAGTCATGAGTGGCTCGTCTCGCGCTGCGACATCGCAGTACCATGGATGCGATAGAAGGGAACCATAGCAAACACCATCAGACAAGCCCATGCAAGACGAACAGAATCGGTTTCTATAGACTAATACTCGTACAAAACTACCGTAGTACCGATCACTACAGAACAGACAGAAAAAGGCTACAAGGTATGTTCAGCATCTAGTCAATGAGCAAGCTATTCAGCCTCGCCTCCGTAGCAATAACATCCAACGCCTGCTTAACCTCCAGCACCCTCCTACACTCACCCAACCAATCCTTACTCAGCACCTTAGCCCAGCCTTGTAGTCCATTCATTTCCCTAGCCGCAGCATCGAGATCACCCTCCTCGAGCAGAACCTCCGTCCGTGCAAGCACAGCCTCAACATCGCCACCGACAGCCAACCCACTCTTCTTGAACAGCACCTTCGACATGGCGAGGGAAGCGAGATGGGAAGCCACACCAGCGTCTTCAGGAAGGAGAGCCGCTTTCCTGACTTCAGAAGCGACGCGACGGAAGCGGTCGATTAGGAGGGCCGAGCTGGGGATACCGCGTTGGTAGGCGGCGGGGTTGATGCTCGCGATAGCGGCGCTAACGACGGGGTCGTCCTGGGCGATTTCCTTGAGGGCCGCGAGCTCGGTGACGAACGGCTTGGGGATGGCTTGTGTCTCGAGAGCCGACTTGACGGCCTCGACGGCGACGACGAGGTGCTGCGTCTTGAGGTTGGCGTCGACGACGCTGTTCCACTCGGCCGTCAGCTTCTCGAGCTCGTGCACGGACGAGGAGAGCTCGTTGAGCTTGCCGAGGCGGCCGTCGCGTTCGGCTTCGACGCGCTCCCGGACGTTGGCTGTGAAGGACTTTTGCATGTTGATGCTCTGTTCGAGCAGTTGGTTCTTGAGCTTCTGGTCGTAGACCTTTTGAGCGGCCTGGAGTTCAGACTGGAGGCGCTCCTTGTAGGATTGTGACAGACGCTCGCGCTCGTTCTCGAATTCCTCTTTGAACTGGGTCTCTTGCGCCTGCATCTGGTGGTCGAGGCGCTGGACGAGCTCCTTGGCGGCCTCGTCGAATTCGGCGTGGGCGGCCTTGACCTTGTCTTCGGTCTGCTTCTGGAGGCTCTCCTTCATCAGGTTGATGTCCGAGACGACCTTGGCGAGCTCGCTCTTGGCCTTGTCCAGCGCTGAGTTGTACCTGCCGTCGTGGGCGTTGTCGGCGTTGATGACGGTGATGATGTCGTTGACGATCTTGACGACATCCTGGACGACGGGCTCGGTGGCGGAGGGTACGCTGAGGTGGTCGAGCTGGGAGATGGGCGTGGCGTCCTTCTTAACCTCGACCTCCTTAACCGGGGCCTTCTTCTCGGTGGGCGCGGGTGCGCTTGATGAGACCTTCGGCTGTTGGCCGCCCGACTCGGTCTTGTCCTGGGGCTTGTTGGCATCGACGGCGCTCAGATGGGGGCCCTTGGAGGCGAGGTCGCTCTTGTTCTCCTGGGCCGGGCGCGCAGTCAAGCCGCTCCGTCCGGGGATGGTGACCTTGTTCTCGCCCGAGATCTGGGGGTGCAGCCGTGGTTCGCCAGCGCGGCCGGGGAATCGCCGCCTGAACTCGCGCTCCTCGAAGTAGGCGACGGCATCCTCGCCGTAGGGGATGTATTCGGTGAAGAAGTCGTGGAAGTTGTCCGACACGAGCGAGTACCACACACCGCCGGCGTACCCGAGGCCAGAGAGGACCGTCAGCCAGAGCAGCAGCTTGCGGAATATGCGTCTCTTCTTCTTGGGCTTGGGCTGGATGGGGTCGGGGGCGATGCTGGACGATCCGGGGCCGGTGGGGGGTGTCGTCTTGGGAGATATGGCGGGAGCATCACGCGATGCGCCTGCAGTCACGGTGCTGTCGGGCGCCGGCGGTGCCTTGGGGATATCCGAGGTGGGAATGGTGCCCTTGGGGTCGGAGGGCGAGGTGGTGGGCGCGGGATTGGGGACGGCCGTCTCGCCCAGGTTCTTGCTATCGGCGTAGCAGCGCTGGGCTGGGAGCCATTGCGGGCGGGCGGCGCGGGCCAAAGGGCGGGCAGCTGGACGGGCCCTTAGGATGGAGGCGCGCAGCATAATGGGCTGCCTCCGAATGGCGGATGGGTGATGGGGGGAGGTAATTCGGCGTTGTTGATGGGCTGGACGTCTGCCAACATGAAGATTTGGAGCTCAACCAACACACGTCAGGGTGCACGGACTCTCGGCAGTCCCAGGTTATCGCCCGCCGCACCCACATGCTCCCACGACAACTCACCACCACTCCAAATTTGATGACAGCCAACAACATGCTGTGCCAAATCCACTCACACTCACAATCTTGCTCAATGACTAACCGCAGCTTCACTTCGGCTTCCCTTGCCGCGCGAGCCCACGGTTACTGATCCAAACTTGCAGCCACCCACTCACAGCGCCTCTTGTTATTCTGGTCGAGAGCAATGTACGGTTGACTGCCAACGGATTCTCTCACGGATTTCTCTTATAAACTGTCGATTCTTTCTCTCTCTCTCATTTCAACCATCTCTCTCTCACATCACTTCTCACATCAAAATATCTTCCAAAGCAGACCCCAACTGAAACCAGTCAAATCAGCACAGCTGCGCCATATTGCAACGTCAGCACATTACGGCCACCATCACAAGCTACACCAGGCAGCCGCTTTTCCAACTTCTCATCACCCGCGCACTCTCACACAGCTTTCGAGCGCCTGAGATCGTCGCAAAAAGCCAGACCCACCTTCCAGATCCGTCTGCAGGAGCAAATTCCGAGTGTGGCTTTGTCCTCGGCTACCTTTACTCCGTCTCAACAAACTACCTGCCAGCAACACAGCCAGCAAATTTGAACTTTTCACCTTCTGGTCAGCTGAGCATACTACTCCGAACACCTGTTCGCATACCACGGGCCGAGAAAATCTCCCCAACAAAACTTCTCGCACGAGACAAAGATCTCCGCGAAAACCCAAACCCCGCCAGCAACACCGCCAGCAAATTTGAACTTTCCAACTTCTGGACAGCTGAGCTTTCAATCCGAACGAACACCTGTTCGCATACCACGGGCCGAGAAAATCTCCCCCAACAAAACTCTCGCACGAGACAAAGATCTCCGCGCAAAACCCAAACCCCCGCGAAAATTTAAACAACACCCCGCAAAAATGTCTACCACCCCATCCCACAGCTCCGCCACCGCGCGCGATGCCACTACAAACTACTCGTACGATCTCAGCAACGCGATATACGGCGCCTTCCCCAGCTGCGCAACCGATATCTCGCCGCGCAGATCACGCGCCGCATCTCCAGCGTCCGCATCAAACTCAAACTCTTCAAAGAAGCGCAGCACAGGCATGACTACTGCAAACACCACCGGCACTGCAAACCGCACACTCTGCCGCCAAGCCATCTCCTTGCACCGCTCCAACGCGCCCCCAACCTGGCTGCCCGCACCCAACCCCACCAGTCCCACCAACAAACGCAGTGCGCTCGCGAGACGCCAACAAGGCCAGCAAGGCATGAACATCCACGCCAGCACGTGCCTCAACCTCAATGCCAGCGCCGAAGACGAGACTTCAGAAGCGGATTTGTGGATTTTGCCTGAGCTTGACGACTGGGAGGAAGACGAAACCGAGACAGAGTCTGCGATCTTGACGCCTTCGAGTTCGGCGGAGTTGGACGCACCAAGACCGGCGATTGGGGGAATGGAGAATAAGTGGGCGGGTGTGTTGAGAAGGGCGGCGAATAGCAATCTTGAGCGTCTGAGGAATAGGATGGAGGGTGAGGGGTGGGACTTTGTTAAGCCCGATGACGAGGATTTGGATGAGGATGATGAATTCGATGTCGTTGTTTTGCGCAAAGCGTAGGCGGGTGGATAGGCCGGAAGACTACGAGGGGACTCACGATTACGATTTGTACGATGTTTATTGGTGGAAAAGCGACTTTACTATTTATGATACCCAATTTTTGATAGAGTTTTGAATGAATTGTATACTTCAAATCAGGTGTTCAGAGATTGTGTGCATGTGTGTGGGGATATTGTACACCTCAAACCACCTTTTACACGACCATGTTGTTGTGAATGTTCCTATTGTATCCCCCAACCAGACTTATTACAAAAACATACTAAAAAACTTCTAATTATACATTCCCATCCCAACCCAATACCCCCATCCCCCTCCAATCCCCCTCCAATCCCCCATCTCTACCCACCCCCCTCCCTCCTTTCCCCTTCCTTCCCCCTCCCCTTTACCCCCTCTCCCCCCATCCCATCTCACAAACCCAACTCGCACCTACTCAATCCTCTTCTTCCCCTCCTCCAGCCCCAATAACCGCGCATCACTCTTCCCGCGCTCATGTTTCGCCGCCCCTCCCACCAATGGGCCCACAACAGGGTTATTCCTTACTTTAGCCAGCGTCTCTTGGAAGGCTTCGATTTGAGGGGGTTGGCGGTTGAGTTTGGGGAAGTTGACCTGTTGCGGATTAGCACTGCTGTAGATATCATTGGCCGAGTAATGAAACTTACATATAACGTCCCATGATTCCAGATGAAATTCGCGCAAACGGCTGCGGTGAGGAGCGAAATGAGAAGGAGGAGACGTAGTGGCCAGACCGCCGCGTCGGGTGCACGCTGAGTAAAGCTGCCTACGAAAATGAAAAAGACGGCCGCGGCGAGGATATACGGTATCGACTGGATGAAGAGCGGTCTCCGATCCGCAAACAGCGCCTGCCCACCCACCCCTCCATCACCGGGTAAATAATTACCCAGGAACAAATCAAACGCATCCTGTCTCGGTCCATCGGTGAAGTTATTAAGACAATACCTCGTGATGCTGTTATTCAGATCCTGCAAAGCACCAGCTTTTGTTCTTACACCCAAGCGTGTGAAATCAGTCTTCAGGGCTCCGGTACCAGAATATGATTTCGACACTACATCCGCGTTATCGGCCCAGACGTTGCGGAACAGGTGTTCGAAGGCTTGGTCCTCTTCTGCGGACTCGCCTTCGCGCATCAGACCGCAGTCGATGAGCATGCGGCTGAGAACGTAGCGGCCTAGCATACTCTGGACGACGTTTGTGCGGTCGAGACAATCCATGCAGTTCGTGCGTACCACAGCCGTCTGGTGCCGTCGGACTTCCACGCCACTGCCATCCCCAGGCATGTCGACGCCGCAGAAATAGCCGTGTTTGAGGACGTGGGGCTCGAGTTGGTTCATGAGGAGTTTGGCGCGGTCCCACCGAAGCCCTTTTGTCTCGTTGTGGAAGTCGAAGTAGACGTAGTGGAGGCGGTCGTATACGGTTTGCGCTTTGGCGGGGTCGATGATGTGGAATTTCTCAGAGGTTATGCGGTCGCCTTCGACGTTTTCGGCGGGGGATGTGTGGAGGAGGTTGACCATTTGCTCGTAGGCTTCTTTGACGCGCTGCTCGCGGCCTTTTTGGTTGACGAGGTTCACCATCCAGTTGTCGCCGTAGAGCCGGATTTGCTCGGCGAAGTGCTTTTTGGCGGCTGGGAGCGCATTGTCGATGCCGCGGACTTGCAGCTTGGGCGTGTATTTTAGGGTGTTGATTTCGGCCCAGTAGACGGGGACGCTTCCTCTTGTTTGCACGTACGCGAGCACTTGTGTCTCTTTTCCGGCATTTCCACCTGCTGCGCCGTTCTGGTTTGAGCCGAATCCGCCGGGGCCGCCCGATGCGTTGTCGTTCAGGATGATGGTCTGCTCCGTCTCGTTGAAGTTGGACACGTTGCCGTTCTCGTCGATGCCGCGCGAAAAGTAGCGGGTTCCCGCCTTGAGGCGCGAGCGGCGGGTGATGAGGATGAAGGTGAGAGGGGTGCCCTTGATGGATGTGTTCTTGATTTCGAGCATTCCGTACATGACGGGCAGGATGTAGGGGTCTGCGCCTGGCTGGTGTCCGCTCGAGTGCCTGCCATATCCGCCGCTGAGACCTCCGCGGAAGTCGATGAGGTCGCTGGAGACGAAGCGGTTCCAGTAGAAGCGGTCGTCTGCGCGCTTCCACAGGGGCGTCGCGGGGTCGAGGTGGGCCTGGCGCTGGAAGGTGTTGGTGATGTCGAAGGAGTAGGAGAAGAACAGCGGGGACGTCTTGATCAGCGTCTTGAGCAGGCTGAGGTAGTTGTCCTCGTCGGCGTCGTGCAGCGGCTTCTCGCGCAGGGAGAGGAACTCGGTCGACACTATCTTGTAGATCATGTGGCCCTTTATCCGGCCCATGGGCTGGGCCTTGGTAATGACGATGATGTACTTGTCTTCACGTGCATCAGCATTCGTGTCCCCTGGTGCTGTGCAGGAGAGGCATACCTAGTCGCAGCTTGATCATGCCGAGGATGCCGGCAATGCTCGACACGCGCTTGGAGCCCAGCAGCTTGCCATCGTGGAGGCGGATGTCACCTGACGGGCGGTCTACGACGAGTGTAGGGGCCGAGGGCGACGAGGGCGACGAGAAGGCGTAGTGCGAGGGCGACGAGTGGACGTTGATGTCGCGGTAGGGGAGAGCGACGCTCATGATGTCGTCCACCGGCGTGTATACGGGGATTTAGGTGTGGTGTTGAGTGTACTTGGGTAGTGTTTGGCGCGATGTGTTTGGATGCGTTTTCTCAAACGGGAGGTTTCGTCATGGCGGCCATTGCGGCCAAGGGTCCCCGACTCGCGCGCTAGGGCCAAGCACCAGACGCAGCACCTCGTCACAGCACCATCCAGCTCTTTCACCCTCACCACACCCCAACACGCCTCTCTCACCCATACCCCGACCCGGTCCCGCCTTGACCGCCCACTACTCGCACCACCACCCTCGCCCACTCTACACCAGCCCCCTCCGCCACAACCCGCTAGCGCCGCGTCACCCCCATCATGTCGGCCAGGATGCAGCAAGGCCAACGGCCCGGAGGCTCCAGATTCGCACAGTTCAAGCTGGTGCTGTTGGGTACGAGATTACTATGATATGTGTATGAAGACATGACTAACCTGCTCAGGTGAATCCGCCGTCGGAAAGGTGCGCAGGCCTATCAAGGCAGCCATGACATAAGCTAACATGCCGCAGTCGTCTCTAGTATTGCGCTTCGTCAAGGTACGCCATACCACACCCCCAAACCAAATGTTAGTATTAATGTATGCAGGACCAATTCGACGACTACCGGGAATCCACCATCGGCGCCGCCTTCCTCACCCAAACCATCGCCCTCGATGAGAACACGACGGTCAAGTTCGAGATCTGGGATACCGCCGGCCAGGAGCGCTACAAGTCGCTCGCGCCCATGTACTACCGAAACGCAAACTGCGCCGTCGTCGTCTACGACATCACACAAGCCGTACGTCCCTATCCCTCACCTTCCACCTTCCCCAGACTAACACCCCCAGGCCTCCCTCGACAAAGCAAAAGCCTGGGTCAAAGAACTCCAACGCCAAGCCAACGAAAACATCATCATCGCCCTCGCTGGCAACAAACTCGATCTCGTGACCGAATCCCCCGACAAGCGCGCCATCTCCACCGCCGACGCCGAGCAATACGCCCGCGAAGCCGGCCTCCTCTTCTTCGAGACGTCGGCCAAGACAAGCGAGAACGTCAAGGAGCTCTTCACTGCCATCGCGAAGAAATTGCCTATCGACCAGGCGGGACCCAGGAACCTGAGACCGGGACAGCAACGACAGGGCGTTAACCTCAGGCCTGAGGCGAACCAGACTCAGGGACCTGGTGGGTGCAACTGCTAGGGAGTAGGGGGATGGGGAATTTGGTTGTTTGGTATATTGAAAGGGAGATTGCGGAGGTGATAAGAGACGATGCGATGCGACTTGGGATGGGTCCATGCTATGTCTGGGTGCCCAGTGTAGCCTTTCTTCGTACGTCTCTCAGTATGTCCATTGTGGGACATTGGTGTGGGCTTATTTGGAGTAAAGGGTTTGTGTTTGATCGCTCGAAGTCCATATTGCTTTGTTCACTCAAGAGAAGATATTTTGGGGCTACCTGCGCCGACTTTTTAATTAATGAATTTCGATCAAGTACATTTGCCAGTTTTGATGACACTCCGAAACATACATGCGGCTGCTCTCACAATGCCAGACTGACCATGCTGTCACATGACACTAACCTTGGAAATAGATATTTAGTTGACTTGGTGTGAACCCGGGGACTATCCTCCGACGATTACATGAAACGCGTCTGGGGGCGGAGGGGAGGTGGAGGGGAGGATTGCGGACTCCAAATTGTTGATGGTAGCTAGATGTGTAAGGGATCTATGAACATATCGATGATGTTAAGTATAATCAGTGGGTTGGCTTTGTAAGGTTGTGATCAAATGGCTGGGCTAAGTGGTGTTACAACTTCTTTTCTCATCACACTGCGGCATTGGGCTATGATGGGCAGTATGGGCTGTTTGGCATTGTGAGACTTGTGTATGGATTCTGAGGTAAGGGGAGGTGGGAAGGAGAGTGATGGGGTATATCGGAGGGGATGACGCTGAGGAGAAGAATCGTTTGTAGATTGGGTTTGTGGGTCTTGTTTCTGAGGTGTTTCTGGGGAAGAGTGTTCATTGTATAACTGGTTTAAGGTGCATCGTGTGGAGAGTTACAGTGTGGAGATGTTGGATTGTTGGAGTGCGTCTTGCGCTGGTGCTGGATGTGTGGTTGCGCCTGTCAGGTCCCTGGACTAGTCCAGGAATGGATTAGTGTCGATGTCATACATAGCTGCAACCTTCCAAAGACCGCGCCATCACTGCACTGCACGATATATAGACTTTGCAAAAGAAATTGTTTGTGCATACTCTCTCCATTACAACTACTGCAGTCGCTGCACAAACAATACTGTCGCGCTGCAAGCACCGGCGGGCAAATACATACCCGCATCCACTCCACTTCCTTCATCCACCAGCTCATTCCCACCCCCTCCTACCATACCTACCACAACCCCCCTCTACCCATCTATACCTCCAAACCACTCCTGAACTATGCGCCTATCCTTCCAAAACTCCTCCTGCTCGGCATACGACGCCTGGGCAGATTCGATCAAGGTCTTGACAAGTGCTGTTACATCGTCCTTGTGATACCACTTTACGAGTAGATTCTCTACGTTCTGTAACATGGAGTAGTAGGCGGTGCAGGCTTCGGAGATGGTGGTGAAGGATAGGTGGCCGATAGGGGGGTAGTCTTTGGTAGGGGGGTTGTTGGATAAGAAGGAGGATAGGAATATGGAGGAGTTTGAGGAGGAATTGTTGTCTGAAGAGCTGTCGATAGAGGGATTGTCGTTAGTGGGGTCGCTAATGAGGTCAGAAGAATGGTCGTTAGAGGAGCAGTCATTCTCGGAGTCGCATCGTGATGACTCTGGTAGTGTAGGTGCTTGAGTTGGTGGGTCCGATGGACTTGAGACTGTCAGCGGCTGCATCAATGCTCGCAACGAACTTAGTAACGCGGATCCAGCGTTCTCGGTGTCTTTCAAGTCATCGTCGTCATCGATATCCTCCCCACCATCCTCATCCTCAAGATGCTCCAACTCTTCGTCATCCTCTTCATCGTCGATATCTTCCCAATCATTCTCATCGTCGATATCCTCCCAATCATCCTCATCATCGACACCTTCACAATCTTCTCCGTCCTCAATATCCCCCCACTCTTCCTCGTCATCATCATTGACATCCTCCCACTCATCATCATCAGCTTCAACCAAACGGGCTAGGATAGAGGCAGTGGCAGTACGAGCTTCAAGCAACATGCCCATCAACTCTCGCAACCTTTTCTCGCTTTCAAGTGCTCTATTGGCCAATTCTCGATCCTTGAAAGCACCACCACCTACAAAAGGACGCTTTGCGCGTGCTGTGGCTGTGGTCATGTTGTGAAAAGGTCGGGGATGGCAGGTGCGAGATTGCGTGGCTGTGATTTGGTGAAGATGAGGGGATCTGTAGGTAGCAGGACTGCGTCAAGACTGCGTGCTGGAGTGTGGTGAGCTGGAGTGGCGGTGGTGAGATCTTGAAATATAGTTATAAGGGAGGAGTGGGTTCGACGTTGTGAAGTTACTCTGCTGGTGTGATATGTGGATGGTAGATGTACAATAGGCCTACAACAGCACCGAAGCGCATTGTTACATCATCCATACGAGATTTTGAGGTATACGTGGATCTAGGGACGTATCGACGAAAGTGACGTGATATCGTTGTAGTCAACTAAGTTATGTATCCTCATCTTCAAACACAAGCAAACAACACCCGTCGCCGCCAAACCCATACTTAATCTCAGCTTCAGCCCGCCCATCTACCTACGTATCCCTCTCAGCCCTCTTTCTAGCCCGCTCCTCTCTCTTCTCATTCCTTCTCCTAGCAGCCTCATCCTTCCTCGCCTGCCTATCCTCCTCCTTCTTCTGCTTAACCATAACATCAATCCGCTCAACCTGTTGCTCCCCCGTCAACCTCTCAAACCTAACCTTAACCGCCTTAACCACCTCCTTCCCAGTCCTCCAATGCAGCCCCTTGATCTCCTCCACGAACGTCCACTCCGGATACTTGATCGATTTGTTGACGATATCCACAACCGGCACCATACTCCCCTCCATATTGATAAACTTGCGTGAAGCAGGAATAACAAGCCATGTCACATGCTCGTCCTCTTCATCAACCCATTTCTGGAACGTGGATGTGGATGAAGCTGGAGGGGTCTTGATCTGCGTGGGGTCGATCTCCCGCGTTTTCTCAGCCCAGTCAAACTTTGTCATCGCGCCGCCGACGTCGCGATTGCTGTTGGCGTTGGCGAGCATGGCGGGGGCGACGTGTCGGACGTGTTTGGCTGCGAGCGCGTTGACTTCGGTGCGGCGCTCGGCGCCGGTGGGGACGTAGCGGGGTGTGGGGATGGAGCGTTGCTTTCGCATGCGGTCGAGGAATTTGTGGGCGTTGGTGGTGGATGGCTTTAGTGATGCGGCGGTGGCGGCGGTGCGGTATCGTCGTGTGGCTTCGGTTTCTTTCCTTGAGTTCTTGTTGTCTGTTTCTTCAGAGGCGGTTTTGGCCTTTTTGGATAGCGGAGAGGAGGAGGAGGAGTCGGAGGCGGACTCGTCGGTGGTGGCGGAATCGCGTTTGCGCTTCCGAGGACTAGTGACATGGGTGTCGTCGGGAGAGGAAATGGGTGAAGATGTAGGCTGCGAAGCTTGGTCAGGAGTGCTGATGGAAGCAGGGGAAGATTGACCCACGATAGGTGGTAAGTTGAGGCCCCAGGTAGTCTCGTCCTCGAAGAGGTCGTCAAGATCCTCGTCATTGGTGCTATCAGAGGCAGGGGAAGACCAGTGGTGAGGCGTCATTGGCGCTACTTCGTCCAGCGAAGTTGGGCGCGAACGCGGAGCATCCACATTGGCGGAGGCGGTAGGTACGATAGGGGTAGATGGCGACATTGTCGGAAGCTGCGGTGTAGCAACTTTGAGTGACTGTTGGATAATGGAGTGCAGATATGGTGCGTATAGATATTACAATGTCGTAGCCTGGATTGAGGGGATGAAAGTTGAGGAGACAGTGGTGACGAGAAACAGATGATATAGGTCCGGACCTGGCTCAAGTTCTATTGAGAGGAAGAAGACTGCTATTGTGGCGAACAAGATTATTGTATTGGCGTGTGATAGTGAATGCGACGGGCGGAGTTGTTCAGGAACAATAGCATTGGATGACGCAATGGCTGTGCAGTGCCTGGATTATAGTATAAGTGAAAGGGGGTCTTCGGTGCAAGCACCGCTGCATCACAGCGCGACATAACGGGGACGAAAAGAATATACATGTGAAAATGGTAGAATGTGTTGATATAGTAGTCTCTATCTGCCCGAGCGACATATGAGGTGACGCCCCCTCTTCCAATGATAAAGACTTCAGATCGAGGTGACGTTGGCTACCAAACCGTTCCTTCCCACTCGCGCTCTCCAATCAAGAGTAAAATAACGCAGTCCTACCTACCAAGACGTATCCAATCGCGCCACGTACTGCCGCCTCGATCTGGTACTCGCTGTTGCCGTGGTAGGTTACCGGAAGGTATGTGTTCGGCAATGATGGATGGACTGTGTGGACGACAGCGACATTGGAGATCTCCCTCACTATCGTAAACTCGTTGTAGAGGAGGCCACGCATCTGAGTCAGTTGCGGCGGCTCCTCCGAGTGTGTTTGACTTCCTTCGTCTCGTACGGCCGGCGTTGACGAAGGGTATGCTGGCGATATAGGCCATTCTCCTAGCGATGCGTCGGAGTATATCGGGACCGCGGAGGAATGTGATGAGGTCGATTGAGAGTATAGTGGCCATGTGGGAGGAAATTGCGGAGAGGGGGGAGAGTATCCTGGTGATGTGGGCGATTCTCCCAGTGATGCGTTGGAGTACATTGGAAACGTTGGCGAGTATGCTGGCGATGCGCTTCCAAAGCCCGCGACAGACGGAACTTGCAGCGACAAATTCGGATTGACGTCCATGTCCAATGACGTCGCAACCTCCTCTTCGTCATCATCAGAAAATTGTGTCGGTTCAGACATGTCATAAAAAGCATCGAGACCCTCAACCGAAACTCCCATGGACGCGAACCAGAGGCGCTCAGCTTCTCTCGCTGCAGCGTACGGACCCAATTCTGATAGCCGGCTCTCAGCGTCTTGGATCGCTTGCGCTTCTTGCATGGCCTGGATCTCGTGGGCCGTCATTGGCGTGTACTGGTACATCGACTCCCGACAAGAGGGGCATTTGTCGCGGGGTGAGCCCCAGGTCTCCGTCCACTGGATGATGCACTTGCGATGGAAGACGTGCGAACAGCTGCTGACGGCGACCATGTCATATGACGCATCGTTGAAGTCCTCTTGGCAGACGACGCAGATACCGATGTCTGCAAACTTGGGGGCGCCCGGGAGGATGCGACAGGGCGCCAAATGATCGCGATAGAACTCGGTACGGGTGGGTAGAGCCATGGTGCGGGTTGGCGGATGTGAGTCTTTTGGTATTGAGTGTGGTGGTAGGTAGTGAAGAGGAAGCAAGTTGGCGGACTGGGTCAGGGTCCGCTTGCGGAGAAACCAGGGTTGCCCGATTGGGTGACGCTCGCCTTCACCGCAGGACGTAGTCGTGGTGTGTGGGGTTGACAATGCCTCAACCATGAATAATAGGCGTATCGCTATTCATTGTCTTGGCCGCCAGTAAGCAGGATGTTATTGGCGAGGCATCCGTTTCTCAGGCCGCTGGTTGGCCTAGTGTTTGGTCGCGAACCATGGATACGCACCATATCTTCTCGCTCAGATCCCACAGAGCCTCAGCGGGATTCCGTATAAAACGAGCCTTCAGCACACGCTTCTTTCGAGACCATACATCTCCTGTTCAAGCCACAATCCAATTCGCCTTTCAAGTCGCCATTCACGCCGCCATCCAAGCTCACTCGCAACTTCACAGGTATCCACCATGGCCATCCCAACTCTCTACACATTCTATACTACCAGTCTCACTGCCTGCACACCTAGCAATATCGACGATGAGTGCCCCATCTGCGCCATCTCATATCGCGATGCTTTGAGCGACGTGGCGCCAGACGTCGTCGCGACACCCTGTGGCCACAATTTCCACCGCGACTGTCTCGACCATTGGCTGAGGGATGGTCCCAGTGACGAAGCTACATGCCCCAATTGCCGCATGGCTCTTTGCCAACGCCCTAGACCGAAAAGAGATTTCGCTCTACAGTGTCTTGATCCTGCTCTCTCAGACAACTGGGCAGAGGAGAAATGGGAGGCAATATATCTCATGGAACATTTGTTAAAGACTACTGGCTTGACGGACACGCTTTACGAAATCGTCGAAAAGCTGTTCGTGATACTTCGCAAGTTACGAGAAGATGCGACTGGAAGGTTGTCAACAGGTCTTGCATGGGCAGACATTTTCCAGCAAGCATTTCCTTGCTACAAAGACTCATTACGTACGGCCGCCCAATCTTCCGATATGAGCCAAAGGGAAACGTCGCTCGAGGAAGAAAAGTTGTTGTATCCTGGCGGGCCAGGAGAATACGTTGCAGTGCGCACGATCTTGAGGGCAATCGCGAAATCTAACAGGGAGAGAGGATGGGTCGATTCTGCTTTATTGGTTGTACTTGACCGGTTCGGAGACTGGGAAAAGGAAGAGACGATGAGTATCGTTGAGGCTTATCGAGGGCTCGGATTCTTCGCGTTGGCAGACGAAGCAGAAGATGAGACAGAATGCGTGATATAGGACAACTTCTGGGATGATGTATCCAGCATGATGCGAACAATGAGTTCTGGGTAAGGTCGGAGCCTTCTGCGATCTGTTTAGGGCCGTTGGGAACGTCGGCGGTTGACGTTGCGCTCCCAAAGTTAGCGAATCAATCCTGGGCATACCTATATTAGTTCATGTCGACGGGCCAACTTCGCGCTGTAATATTCAAAGTGATCGTGCGCTGAAACCTCTGTGGACATTGTCTGAGCATGACTTGAGACAGATGTCTCACGACTGGAACGTGACTTTCTTCGCGAAGACATGGCCAAGCTAGCCGCGGGCTACAAGTCAGCTTGTAAAGTAGCGCAGAAGACCGCTTCGACCGCATCTCAAGCATCATGGGTGACAGTCGGTCAAGAGTAGCAAGCTGGCTAGGAATACCAAGCTTATCGAACGTATCGAGCTTGTCGACGCGATCGACCCCGACCTCAAGCATTATGGGCGATAGCCGTTCGCGAGTAGCAAGCTGGTTGAAAGTACGAAGCTTATCGAATGTATCGCGCTTATCGAGCCTGCCGACGCAATCAACCTCATCCTCAATTACGCCCGTCGCCGCGGTCCCTCGCGAGAATACACCCTTCAACCATTCGGTCATCCTTCGGGGTATACACAGCACCT